GGGGGGGGGGGGGGGGGGGGGGGGGGGGGGGGGGGGGGGGGGGGGGGGGGGGGGGGGGGGGGGGGGGGGGGGGGGGGGGGGGGGGGGGGGGGGGGGTTGCTGCAGCTGATAGCAAAACGCTGATGATTTAGGCAGAAGTACACGAGAGAAAACATTCTAAAAGGTAGTCAAGCCCAGGCTTGTAGGCCACTTTCTCTGGTGTTTGCCTTGTCAAAACGGAGTTAAGGTCAAATGATATAAGGATCCAGTTATTCTGTTTTGGAAAAGCCATGTGTCGTTTAAATGTGTATCATGGAAGTCCACGAGAGGGATATTATTTCCATCAACAAAACAATGACAAAAGAATCAAAGCAAACAAAGACCAAGACTTTTTGTATTGGCTCTGAAAAGAGCCATTTTGAATGGCTCCAAAAAGAGCCGTTTTAAAATTTTCTTGAACTTTTCGTAGGAGGAAGAATTAACTGTTTCTTTTCTAAGTTTCTGATTTTACTAGACTGTTGATGGAGGTCATAGAGTATGCGAGGTTTCAAAATAACTATTTTTGGAACGATAACAGTTTCATTAAACACGAGAATTGTGAACGTTTTTGTTTTTACTGCAATTTGAGTGTGTTTGAACAACATTCACGCTTTCAGACATTGTGTAATTTCTGGGGGCAATAAGGTCACCGTCCCCTCAAGTCCGAAGGTGCCCGTACGCCTGTGCCTCTTAAGAGTGAAAACAATTTCAAGCCACGCCCACAAAACAGGATCTTGGTACCTCCTAGGGGTTCTTTTCAAAGTTTCCGACGAGCACCCCCGTCCTTTTTGTTAGGGAGTCCCCCCTCCCCCGTTCCCCCGAGCTTAATTAAGCGATAACCACGATTTTCTGTAGTTGTCTTGGAATTATCTCAGTCATTTATTTATTTTTTTTTTAAGAAACGTTTTTTTGGATACCTGCATTATCAGTAATTCGCAGATTTGTACCTTTCAGTCGTAATGATTTGAATTTCTGATATGTACAGATTAAAAAAGCTGCCCAGAAGCGAAAGGAAGAAGACGCTGATTTTGAGGAGAAGCGTATGATCCTCGGCATCACAGCTGAAGGAGACGAAGATGAAAATGACAAAGAAAATTTGATGAGACGCCGTGAGATGATACGAAGCAGGTTGGAAAAAGAGCCTGTCATGTTCGGTCAAGAGGAAGAAGACATCAGACATCGTAGAGGAGGAGATATCGTGTCACGGTGGAGAGACAAGAGAGATTCCTCACCTGTCCAGTATCGGGTGAGTCAAATACCGAGACAGTATTATAGTGATTTGTTGCGTGCTTTCTCTGATTGCTCTCGGGGTCGCTAGCTTTCTATAGTTTTCCACTGTATGTTATCAAGTATAGTAAGACATGGAGATGCGGAAGAATAAAAGTGTTTCTTGTGTGTATAACTTTCTTTCAGAATTTTGGTACGTAATATTATATCAGCCTAAGGCTACCTGCGGGTTCGTGCTGTTGCTGTTGTCAAGCTTTTATTTTTTTTTAACTTAATGTGTATATATTTCTGTAAAATTGTAAATATGCGAGTCATAATAAAGTTGTTGTAGTTGTTGTTGTTGTTGTTGTTGCTGTTGTTGCTGTTGTTGTTGTTGTTGTTGCTGTTATTGCTGTTGTTGTTGTTGTTGTTGTGACACAGTATTTATGGCTACCCTTGCTATCTTTGATTTGTTTGCTTATGTTTTAGGATCGTGACAGACGAAAAAAGAGAGCTTATCGTACTCCATCATCTTCACCTGAAAGGTAATAGAACTATTGACCCGCAGTCTGGATCACGGCAGATCTCACTTGAACTGTCATTGAATTTGATTAGTACTCTGTGTAACAGTGCCGTGTTATTTACTGATCATGTGCGTTATCTTTCGTGTCAGGGACAGGCGAAGTAGACGAAGAGGCGGTGAAAAAGAGAAACAGAAGGAAAAGGCAAAAGAAATTACCAAAGAACGAGAAAAAGAACGAACGAAAAAGCCTTCGAAAGAGACGGAAAAGACGGGAGAGGAGAAAGTTAAAAACAAGAAAGACAAAGGGAAAGAAAAGGATAAAGAAATCCCAGCCGCTGGGGATGGGAAAAGCGACAGTGAAGTTACGCAAGAGAAAAACGTTGAAGTCAAGGAGCAAACAATTTCAGCTCTAAAGGAACAACACAATGACACAATTGATGAGAACAAGGATGAAGGAAGGAAGAAAAGGAGTCAGGAAGTGAATGTAAATACTGAAACAACAACAGCAAAGGAAGGTGACAAGAGAGAGGATTTAAGAGAAACGGTAGTTGAAGAAAAGGACAAATCTAAGCCGAAAGCACTAGGAATCTCAAGTTCCCGTCTTCCTAATGATGAATGGATAGATCCCTGGCAAAGAACAACATCTCCTAAACGCCACTCGGTTTCTTCTCGTAGTTCACGAAGCAGGTCTTCATCCTCCTCCTCAGACTCATCACGTTCCTCACGCTCACACTCGGGATCAGAGTCACGTTCCACGTCACGCTCTGCTTCTCGCTCGCGGTCTCGCTCAGTTTCTCCAACGTCTTCCAGATCACGATCACGTTCGCGCTCTGGCTCCCGGTCAAAATCACGTTCCCGATCTGGTTCTCGGTCTTCAGGGAGCGATAGGTCAAGCTCAACAAGTAGCAACAGTCCTGTTAAAGAGGTGAAGACTGTGCACAATGAAGACGATGAAGAGAGAGGTGGCACGCAAGCTTCTAACGTTTCTTCAGAGTCCGAATCCCAATCAAACAAGTCAAAATCGCCATCGCCTAAACCTACGCAAAAAAGTCCTACTAAGCTCAAAGGTTCACCAGAACCAGGGCCTCGAACTCCACCAGTTGAGACTAATCGTAATATCAAGGAAAAGAGGAATCGTTATGAGTATGGCCGAGCAGATAGAATACAAAAATCCCATGGGGCCAGCTGGGGCCGCCGAGCAGGTGTGCGGCCATTCCAAGATCCCTATAGGTATGGTTGCCGCTTAGTGGGTAATAGGGCTTCTGATCTCATATTGAGAAACCCTCTTGACTGTCAAGTCAGACGTTTTTTCTTGTGATACGTTCTAATCTAGGTGCGAAAATTCGTCGTTATTTTGTATGTTCATCTGTGCTTTTACCTTTGGCAATGCCGAGATCTGTTGAAGATGACATACTGTCAGTTTGCCTGGCTGGTGTAGAGTGGTAGTCTTGATTCCTTTGATGTGTTTTTTTGTTGTTCATTTGTAGTCGAGAGCGCGGACATCATTCTCGAAGAGGAAGGAGTCCTGACAGGCGAAGAAGATCTCGATCACCTCGAGCAAGGGTGAGTATCTTTGTACGTTGCAGATAACACAGTCGGTGAGTATTGAACAGCAGCCAGTACTGGCGTCATTTTAGAAAAACCTAAACCGTTGTCCTTAGTTTCATGTCTTTTCCATTTGCAGAACGAAGACCGACGACGACCCAACCAGTCAAAAACGTAAGTTACTCATAGTTGTTCGCTTACTATTGGGTACTATTATCATCACTAAGTGGCCAGAACATACAAGTTTAAGCAATTTCAAGAGCTTATGAACTGGTCATAGAATTAACTGAAACATCACACAATAACAGCCTATAACTGTAGAAAAACTCAAGAAGTTTCAAATTTTTTACTTTCTGTGAAAAAACTAGCTGGTGAGATTGTCCTCACAAAAGCTAAGTGTATATACACAACAAGCTTGACTTGACTTGAAGAACAACAAAGAAAAGCCAGAAAGGGGCACGGATGGGCAAACCTGGAGAAGATTAAAACGGACTGCATTTGGGTAAAGTTGAAAAACGACATTTACCTAAAATACTGTCACCTAATCCCTTAAATGTTATAATGAAAAATCTATACACGCAAACGTAAATAATATGATATACAGCGTGTTTCAAAAGTTCGTTCCGATTTAAAGTTGTAATTTTTTAAACAAATCAATTGTTTGTTACAACTATTTCAATAAATTGAGGACGAGAATTTATTAAAATGGCTGGCAACAGCAATTTTTTTTGTCTGCTAGATGCCGTTGTTTCGATTTTCGTGCCAAATGTGCACACGCGCGTTTTCCCGCCATTTTTTCGCGCCCTTTGTATGTGTTGTTCCTTTCCCGAATTTGTTGTTATTCTCTGATTTTTTCCTGAACTTTCTGTTTTCTTTGTCACGAAAACGAAGTCAGACATTGTTTATGCTAGAGGTCCAGCAGCCACATTACGATCAGTCAAAGAAATCGCTCAATTTTTTAACAAGACGGAACGTTGGATGAACAAGTGTTCGAAAAGAGAGTGATTCGAAGACAAACCAAGAAGCGGACGACCGTCTGTTTTGACCAATTGTGCTCGAAAATCAATCGAGAAAGCGATGTACAAACGGAACAATTCCACAAGGAAGATTGCCAAGAATCTTCAGCAGAAAAATATCGAAGTTTCAAGCATAACGGTGTGGAGATACATGACTAGGAAAGGATGGAAGGCTTTCAAGCGAAAGAAAAGACCTTAGTTGAGCGAAAAGCAAAGGAAAGCCCGTTTAAGATTCACCAAGAAATACGCGAAGCTGACAGTAGAAGATTGGGACAATTTTTTTTATTTACAGATGAGTGTCCTAGATATCTTTTCCAGTATCCTAATCCAAAAACACGATATCGTATGGGACTCGCTGGAATGTGATGTTCCTCCAGCTTTCCAAGTGAAGCAAAGTGCGACGGTGATGGTGTGGGGTGGAAAGACGGGTCGTGGGCTCCCAAAGTTACACATGCTGCCCACAGGCCAAACTTTAACTTCTGATTTCTACATCAACCAAATCCTTGAGAAAGAAGTGAAACCGTTAAAATCAAGGCATCAGGTGGCAGGTGGTCCGATAGAGAGGAAGAGATAACATTCGTTCAGGATGGAGCACCGGCTCACACTTCAAAGGTAACTCAAACATGGTGTCAAAAGAATTTGCCAAACTTTATAGCCAAGGATGGCGAACTCTCCTGATCTCAATTCTATCGAGAACATCTCGAGTATCATTGACGAGACAACGTACAAAGATCCAGCCTCCAAAACGATGAAAGAGCTGAAAAGGCAACTACGCTTTGCATGGAAAAATGTGACTCTTGACATGATAAAGGAACTCGTACATTCTATGCCCAGGCCCTTAGAAATTGTCATTAAAAAATAAAGGCGGGCATTCTGGTTGCTAGCAATTTGAATGATCGAATGAAAAATAAGCAAAAAATAATATACCTAATTTTTAAAGAGTTAGGTTAAATAAATAATGAAACGTCAGAAGAAAACAAATCGGAACGAACTTTTAAAACACCCTGTATATGCATTTAAGTATAAATTACAGGTATGTTTGTAGCGCGGCAATGCACGCCATAAAAACGTGTGTAAAATTTGTTTTCCAGACGAGAACGTTCTTCAAGTGCTGACAGTATGGAGCATGCACTAGCTCGTCCCAGTTCTCCACGTACAACACGAGAGCGAGGTGGGTTCCGCCGTGGATCTAGTGCGTCATCCAGTGATAGTGCAAGTGCAAGCAGTGATACTGGAAGCGAATCAGAAGAGCACCCAGCCAAAACACGCCGAGCAGCCCCTAAGACTGAACAAGTCAAGCAAGCACAGAATGTGCCATTGACAAGCGGCAACATTAGATATACTGGCCATAAAGATATTAAACTAACTTTGAACAAGGTAATTTGAAAAACACGAGAGAAATGCACATGCAAGCACGAGGCCCAGGCTCCTGCTTCTCGCACTTTTTGAGTGTTCTTGAGAAGTCACAATATAATATAACCATCTCGAGGAGCAAGTTTGAAATGTCTTAGACTTCCGCGGTCAAACTCATTGCCGAAAGCAATATCCAAATGAACAACGGCGAGGCTATTTTCCTAACGTTCGAAATGTTAGCTTGACAAGCACTCCATGGCAATTAATTATCCTTTATCAACTTCAAGTTGATAAATACAGCTGTCGAGACTCCCGACAACATCGCGCGATCAGTTTCGCTACAGCTCACACCGCACCAATAGAACAGATGTTGTTACTAGATTTAAACTTGCCATTAGGCGTTCTGTTTTGTTTTTCGTGGTGGCGGAGGAACAAAAGGAAAGCCTGTTTGTGTGTACTCCATCGCTATGCCGTATGCTGCATGGGACCACACATGTTCGTTCCTAGGCCCCTTTCTTTTCCGCCGGTTTGATTCTGGCCTTCCAGTTTAGTGACGAGGGTCGGTTTCTCTTTTACTTTCAAAGACAATGTACGAATGCCGGGAACCGTGGGAGTGGTGTAGGCCTGTTAACCCATTTTGTATAGACATTGTTTTCAGACACGCACTTTCCACCGCGTCTAAGATATCTAAGTGCCAGAAGTTAACGAACACCAACGAGTGCAAAACACTCAAGCCTCACGTCTCGTTGAACAAGGATTTGTAAGAGGAAAATGTGCGTTTCTCTCAAAATAATCCCACACTAATAAAACACGACTTGTGGTAAATTCTAATTTTCACACTTACCAGCCGAATATGTTGGACGTTTCTTTCCTTTTATTCAAGACAAGACATTACAGGTTAACTAGGCTTGTTTATTCTCATTGCAGTCTGTTGCGCGATCAGAGGCTACGGACTCCTCTAAACCTTCCCAGCATTCTCCACCGTACAGATCTGAAGCCAGCAGTAGCAATGACAAACAGTCAGCTTTAAAAAAGCGACCACGTGATCCGTCCCCAGTCACCGACGCTCAAGAGGCCGTGAAGGTAGCGGTTGCGTCATCCGTGACGCCGCAACCTACGATTAAACCCGAGAAACGATCAATGGATTCACAAGCGGAAGCAGTGCCTGCTGGGAAATCAAATGCTGCAAACACTTCCTCGAGGAGAGAAGAACTCCTCCGTGAACTGAAGGCTGTGGAAGATGCCATAGCAAGAAAACGAGCGCGAATTGAATAACCATTCCAAAGTTACTACTTTGACATTGATTTTTCTTTCTCGTGAATGTATAGTAAAAATCCGTTATTCGTCACTTTCTGTGTATCGTCATTTTTATCTAAATTGCGAAACTACAAGCGGGACGAACAAACTGTTTTTTCGTTGTAATCAAAAATCACTTTAAAAGTGGAAAGCATTGAAGGCAGTTAGCTAGCAAGATTGCCATCGATTTCCTTTCTCCCATTTTCAAGTCACGCTCGAATATTTGATATACTTGTCGATCAACATTTCCCCACGCGCTACACCTGTCAGAAGTCCCAAGTTTAAAATACGTACCAGAACGCTTGCTACACAGAGTATTTGAACTTCAGTCCCTCAGTCTCGCTGTCCAGAACGAGAACAATTTACTTCTCACAAGCAGGGTTCTCGGTTTTGGTATCGCATTGTGCCCAAAAGGTACACAATATTTAGCCATGTTTATGTGATGTTCGTTGAGCACTCAGTGTTTGGGTGGCGGAAGTAAATTCCTGAGAACTTACCGATTTAACTAAGTTGTTTTAAACACCATTAATGGGCAAGTAGTATCACTGATGATGTCAACATTTGTCATTTTTGTCACACACGATAGACAGTGCTTCATTACATTTGCGAACAACAAAGACAACTCTAAATTTCTACTCATATTTAAAGAAAAACTAAAGAGAAGTCGACCCTCTATAATGCAGACAATAAAGTGTCCCAATGTGCATAGACATGACGTAATTGCAAGGGCTTTACCAATGGCATAAAGTGCTGTTCACGTTTTCAATACTGACGTAAGCATGTCTGAGATGCATCTAAATTGTTTAATAGACAAACGGACGCCGTTAGATGTCCAGGACAAAATCACGATATTTGTTGTACAATCGTGCATGTATTTCAGCAGAGAGAGAAAATTTGAAAGCCTTCATAAAATTCGAATTCCGATGATAGATGGCACTTATAACTGATTGTCTTGATTTCGAAGTTTTCATTGGCTTGTCTGTAATAAAGAGAGGGTTATATGAATCATTTGCTTTCTGTTGCTGAGATTTGGTGCTCGTCCGTATAAGAGAGTGATTGTAGCTATCGAAAGTTTTTTTAGGTAGGCCTCCTTATTGGAAAGGTGTCCGTAAGGAGAGCGTAAAGTGTACCCTCTCAACGGAACTGAATCTATGAGGGTTGTCCAATACACCCAACTAGAGTCGATTCGTTTCTGGAATTGACAATTCGACTAACGGAAGTCGATTCGAGAACCCTCTTTGATGGAATTGACACGACTCGTCTCCCTTGATGTCGATTCGTCTTCACGCAAGTCGATTTGAGCGGGACTTAGAAAATATAGCGCATCTGGGCTATGCATGGTGGGTTGAAAATGTTGTCGATTCGACTCGATTCGATCGAATCGACACGAATCGTCTCCCATACTGTCGATTCGTCTTACCGGAAGTCGATTTGCGCAAGACTTAGAAAATATAGCGCATCTGGACTATGCAGGGTGGGTTGAAAATGTTGTCGATTCGACAAGAAGAAAATGCTCCTAATAAAAGTAATGTTAATCTTGATTGTTGTTGTTGCACTCTTTTGAAATCTATTTTCAATAATGTGATACATAATTATTGATAATTTATAAAATAATTTTAACGCAGAGCAAATTCAGCCACCTACAGTGTAAAGGGTGGGAGGCGTGGTGGTCTCATGGTTAGTGCGCTTGTCTCCAAATCAAGCAGTCCAGGTTCGAGCCATGGCCGTGGACACTGCGTTGTGTTCTTGGGCGAGACACTTTATTCCTACAGTGCCTCTCTCTACCCCCGTGTACAGATGGGTACCGGTGAACTTAGTGCTGGGGGTAACCCTCCAATGGACTAGCATCCCATCCAGGGGGGAGTAGAAATACTCCTAGTCGCTTCATGCTACAGAACCAGGATAAGCTCCGGCCTGGTGGGCCACTTGGCCTGTATGCAGACTTGACCTTTACCCAAAGGGTGTCAATAAGCAACCACTGGACATCAGAACCAATGGATCAAAGGATGTTTCTTTGAAATCCTGTTTTTCACTGCTGTACCAAGAAGAACTCCACAATGATCGATTCCTCTTCTTTTTTTCGTCAACTAACTTTTCTACTTTCATCCAATTCATCCATGAGTTGGCTCACAGGAGCCGTTGATTATAAGGAATGTCATTACTTTTGTGAATAGCTTTTACGAAGCTCAAGTTATTGACGTCGCCGTCCTTTAAGAAAATACACGTGTCAAGCATTTTTGTATTTGGCGACACGACGGCACCCGCGAAAGTTGCCCACGTCCACTGCCGTTCTCGTCCTGGCCTTCCCGTCCTCGTATCTTATAAAGGTTCTTCCGCTCAACAAATTAAAGTTAGGACCTGTTCGGCGGGGTTCGTACTTGGCTGGGTGACCAAACTCGAATACCCCGTGTTGTAATAACTTCTTTTTTTCTTTTCTTCTTCTTTCCCTTCTAGGACTCCCAACCTTGTGTTATGTCTTTTCGTCTATTTCTCAACTATTTTTTCATATCATTTCGCCATGTCCGTGTTTACGTGTATTTATTCACAATACCGTATAAATAATAGTGAAACTGGTCGTTCGAATTCTCTTCAATTAATTTTCCTGTCTGTTGATCGTCTAAAACTTTTAGTCACGGCTTGAATCATTCG